TCAAACTAATAGCATTTTCAATATTCATTTGAAAATATCTACACATATATTTTAAGCATATATTTTTATTTGGTTCATAGAATAAGTGTTCTACAAAAATGACTTTTCTCTTTAACAGGTATTCATTTAAATTAACACTACTGCAATTTGTTAGTCTTCTATAATACTTCAAAATGTTCCTCAAATTCTGATTTAAAGGTTGAAAGGGAATAATTTGCACATATTTTCAAAGTTGAAAATTCTGATAAAAGAGGTAGTGAATTAGGTGCTATCTAATAAGACATTTATTATGTTTTGGGGAATCATTTGAAGTTGAATTTTTAAAACATGTTTGAAGATAATAACTATGTTTAGAGACACTGTTGCAGTTCAGATGAGCTATCTTTAATATCTGTGCAAAAACACTTTATTTTTTATGAAAAAGAGTGCTACTGGACCTACTAAAGAAGAAATTTCCTATTTAAAATCTACTGTATCTCACACAAGTTATCAAAAGGTGCTGACTTTTAAAGCAGTATTGCCATTGTCTTTTATGAAAACAAATTTCTGAAAGTTTTACCTAAAGCTTTTACTAGTCACTTTTTCTTTTTCCTTTTTTAAATCATTTTATGGGGAGCTCATACAGCTCTTATCGCAATCCATACACGCATCCATTGTGTCAAGCACATTTTTACATGTGTTGCCATCATCATTTTCAAAACATTTTCTTTCTAAGTGACCCCGTGGTATCAGCTCCTGATTTTTTTTTTGCTCCCTGTCCCAACCTCCCTCCCTCATGAACCCATGATGATTTATAAATTATTATTAATATTTTGTCATGTCTTACACTGACCGATGTCTCCCTTTACCTGCTTTTCTGTTGTCCATCCCCCAGGGAGAAGGTTATATGTAGATTAATGTGGTCAGTTCCCCTTTTCTCCCCCCACCTTCCCCTTCCTGTCCTGGTTTCACTACTCTCAGTATTCATCCTGAGGGGTTTATCTGTCTTTCATTGCCTGTGTTTTGAGTTCTTATCTGTACCAGTGTACGTGCTCTGGTCAAGTCAGATTTGTAAGGTAGAATTGGGGCCATGATATTGGGGTGGGGAGCATTAAAGAACTAGAGGAAAGTTGTATGTTTCATGCTGCTATACTGCACCCTGACTGGCTCTTCAATTCCTTATGAACTTCTGTAACGGGATAACCAATTGTCTACAAATGGGCTTTGGGTCTCCACTCCGTACTCTCCTTCATTCCCATTAATATGATTTTTGCTCTGGGACTTTGATGCCTCATACCTGATCCCATTAACACTTCATGATCACACAAGCTGGAGTGCTTCTTCCATGTGAACTTTTTGTGTCTCAGCTTGATGGACGCTTGTTTATCTTCGAACCTTTAAGACCCTAGGTGCTATATCTTTTCATAGCTGGGCACCATCAAGTTTCTTCACCACATTTGCTTATGCACCCATTTTGTCTTCAGCAATCATGTCAGGCAGGGGAGCGTCACAGAATGCCGGGTTATTAGAACAAAGTGTTCTTGCATTGAAGGAGTACTTAAATAGAGGACTAATGCCCATCTGCTATATCCATACTTAACATATAAATATATGTACATAGATATATTTCCCTATTGTTATATATAAACATATTTACATATGTGCCTCCAGTGTTGTCCCTCGTAGTGCTATGGGTCAGTGAGGGATGTCTTGTTGTGGAGTCTGCCCTATGGTCCAGTCTGTACATTGGCTGATCTGAGCAGGAATATCATCCTCTGGACTTGGCGGTCCAGGAAGTGTTCCACTCTAAATTTCCCTCTTAGTTTACTCCTGTGTGCTCTGATCAGATGTATCCCTATCCCCAAGCTGTAGCTTCAGTGCTGTCCTCTGAAGTGTATTTTTTCTGTAGGGAGGGGCTGGGGTGTCCACTTATTTGGGATTGGGGCCAGCCCTGAAGACCTCTCTATCAGTTCCCTGCTTCATGCTAGTACATTGCATTCACGGCTTGGTGCAGCTGATTGAAGTCTATTTCCTTTCCTGTAGAGCTATAAACAATACCCTCCCTTTGGGTGGGTTCGTGCCCTGTTTCCCAGCTACCATGTCTTTCTTTCTTTCTTTTTTTCCCACCCCCTCCTTTTTAGTCGTCTGCTATATGTATCCCTGGATTGGGTACAACACTTGCAACAGTACCTGGTTCTCACCCCAGAAATGTATGTATACAGTAGCTTTTCCCCTATGCCCCATTTTTTAAGCTTTCCTCAGTGGACTCATGGTGCACTTGTTCTTTTGTGCTTGGCTTACTTCACTTAGCATAATTTCCTCCAACACTTCCTGTACAGTGATGTGCTTCATGCATTCACCACTGCTTTTTATGGATGTGTAGTACCCCATTGTATGTATGTAACACAGATTTTAATCTCTTCATCTGTTGATTGCATTTTGAGTTGTTTCCAACTTCTTGCGATAATTAACTGTGCTGCAATGAACATTGGAGCACAGATACCTGGCCATGGTTTGTTTCTTGTCTCTTCTGGATATATGCCCAGTAGGGGGATTGCTGGCTCATATGGCAGCTCGATTTCCATCTGCTTAGATATCACCAAATGTATTTCCATAATGGCTGTACATACCTACAGGTCCACCAGTAATGGACGAGAGTCCCTATCTCCCCACAGCCCCTCCAACATGTGTTACTTTCTGATTTTTTTAATTGGGCAGTTTTTGAGTGTGTTAGGTGGTATCTCATAGATGTTTTAATTTGCATTTCTCTTATGGCTAATTATCAGGAACATTTTCGCATATGTTTATTGGCCATTCAGATTTCTGCCCCTGTGATTCTTCTGTTCAGGACCTTTGCCCACCTCCTTAATGGGCAGTTAGTTTTTTTCTTATTGTAAGCTTGAAAATTATTGTACATTTTAGTAATAAGGCCTGTGTCTGATGTGTCATTGCTAAAGGTGTTTTCCCAGTCTGTGGGCTATCTTATTACTTTCTTGGTGAATTCTTTCGATGTACACAAATATTTTATCTTCAGTATATCCCACTTATCAATTGTGACTCCCCTGTATGTGTATCCCTCCCTATTTCTGATAGCCTATATATTCCCTATGCCAAGGTTCTCAGGTTTGTCCCAATTCCCTCATTAATGGCCCTAATAGTTTTGGGGTTTTACCTCAAGGTCTGTTATCCACCTTGAGTTTATTCTTGTGCATGGAGTGTAGTAAGAGTCTTGCTTCATTTTTATGCAGGTAGATACCCGTTTTTTCCTGCAACAATTATTTGAAGAGGACATCCACTTCCCATTTGATATTTTGGGGGACCTTATCAAAAATCAGTTTTCTGTATGCTGATGTTTTCATTTCTGGTTTCCACCTCTTTTCCATTGGTCTGAATATCTGTCCTTATACAAGTACCACACTGTTTTGACCACTATGGTTATATAATATGTGCTAAAGTCAGATAAAGAAAGCCCTCCCACTTTATCCTTCTTCTTGAGGAGTTCTCTGCTAATTCAGGACTTCTTCCCTCTCCATATGAAGTCGGTAATCAGTTTTTCCATTTCTTTGAAGAAAGATGAATGATATTCATAATGGAATAGCATTAAACTTATATATTGCCTTGGTCAGAACTGACATCTTTACTATATTGAGTCTTCCAATCCATGAGCATGGGATATTCTTCCATTTGTTGAGGCCACTCGTGGTTTCTTATAATAGTGTTCTGTAGTTTTCCCCATGCAAATCTTTCGCTTTTTTAAATCAGGTATATCCCTAGATATTTCCACTTGTGCTTGGCTATTGTAAAGGGTACTAGCTTTTAAATCACCTCTTCTGTGATCTTGTCTGATGTGTATAGCAGTCCAATAGACTTCTGTTTGTTGATGTTGTATCCTGCCACTCTGCCATATTCTTCTATTGCTTCCAACACTCCACTTGTGGACTTTAGGGGATTTTCAATGTATAAAATCATATTGTCTGTGAATAGTGATAATTTTGTCTCTTCCTTCCCCCAGATGAGTACGTTTGAGGTCTTTTCTTTCTCTTATGCTGTTAGTTAGGACCAGTACGATGTTAAATAGGAGTGGGGACAAGGGACATCCTTCTCTGGTCCTCTTTTTCAGTGGAATTGTTTTTGACTTTTCTCCATTGACTACCATGTTAGCTGTTGGTTTTTCATATATAGCTTGTATAATATTGAAAAATTTCCCTTCAATTCCTATCTCCTTGAGTATCTTAAACAGGAATGGGCATTGGATGTTGTCACATTCTTTTTCCGCATCTATCTATATTATCATCTGGTTCTTATCATTTTTTCCTACAAATTGGGGTGAATAATACTAATGGTCTTCCTTATGTTAAACCATCCCTGAATCCCTGGTATGAGTCCCACTTGGTCTTGGTGTATTGGGTGTTTTTTTTATATGCTTGTATTCTATTGGCGAGTATTTTGTTAAGGATTTTTGCATTGATGTTCATTAGGGATATTGGTCTGTCGTTCTTAATTCTTGTGGGATCCTTGCCCATTTTAGGTACTAGAGTTATACTAGCTTCATGGAAAGAGTCTGGGAGATTTCCATATTTTTCTATGTTCTGGAAGAATTTGTGTAGAATTGGTGTCAGTTCTTCCCTGAATGCTTGGTAGAACTCTCCTGTGTAGCCATTTGCCCCGGGGGATATTTTTGTTGGAAATTCCATAATAACCTTGACTGTTTCTTCCATTGCTATGGGTTTGTAAAGGTTCTTGACATCCATTTGGGATAGTCTAGGGAGGGATTCTGTTTCCTAGTATTTGTCTCTGTCTTCCAAATTGCTGAATTTGTTGAGTACAGACCTTCATAGTACTGTATAATTATCCTTTTGAAAGCTCTGAAAATATCTATCAGGTCAAGTTGTACAATTGTGCTGTTTAGATCTGTAGCCTCTGTGTTCAGTTTCATTCCCAGTGATCTGTCTTTTACAGAGAGTAGTGTATTAGAGTCACCTACTATAATTGTTGAGCCTGTGATTTCTTTATTTTTTTTCCAGGGGCGAGCACAAAGAGAGTCCCCACTACCACAAATTATGCAGTTGAGTTTCCCACATTTGTGGAAATCACAAGAGTCAGCACATCCGGAGTGCAATGGATAAGCCTCACCCTGGGAAAACCACCATCGTGATCATGGTATCTCCCCTAAGTATGAGTGATATCTTTCTTCACCTTTTGGAGTGTTTGATTTACGAATTCCTTGGGTCTCTCATTGGGCACATATATATTTATTGTACTCAGTGGTTCTTGGTCTACTGATCCCTGGAGCATAATATAGTGCCCCTGCTTTTCTCTTGTTATGGCCTGTACCTGGAGATCAATTTTGTCAGATATTAAGGTCGCTACCCCTGCTTTTTTTGCATTACTATTTGCTTGGTCTATTTTTCTCCAACGTTTAATTTTCAACCTGTTTTCCTCTGTAAGCCTGAGATGTGTCTCCTGTAGGCAGCAGATCAATGGATTATGTTTCCTAAGCCAGTTGGTTAGCCTCTGCCTTTTAATGCCTGAGTTCAGGCCATTGATATTCAAAGTTATTACATCCATCTGCAGACTGTGATGTCATCTTGTACCTTGTGTGTTGGGTGTTTTCCTACCTACTTATCCATTTGTGTTGTGTGTGTGTGGTTCATTGTTGCCTTCTTTCCACTATTGAGCCAATGCTATCTTAGGGGCTGTTTTCTCATTGTCACTCTATGGGTGGCGTTTTTCTATGTGACGATCTCTTATTTGCACTCGGTGATTGACCTTCTAGCCATAATGGATTAGCAAGGATCTTTTCTAGGGCTGGTTTTCTTTTTATGTATTTGAGTTTTTCTTTTTCTGGGAAGATTCTTACTTCTCATTCTATCTTAATAGATAATTTGGCTAGGTATAGTATTCTTTGGTTTGAGTTATTTTCCTTCAATTTTTGGAACGTTTTGCTCCAATCCCTCCTATTCTTCCTCGTGTCAACTGATAGATCTGAACATACTCTTATTTGGGTACTTTATATATGACTATTTGCATTTCCCTAGCTGCTCTTATGATCTTCTCCTTTTCCTCATAGTTGGATAATTTAACTATTATATGTCTTGGTGACTTCTTGGGTTCAGTTTGGCTGGTGTTCTTTCAGTCTCCTGAATGGTTGCCTGATTTTCATTTATTAAGCTGGGCAAGCTTTCCTCTAAGAATTCCCTCGCTATTTTAGCTGTTGAATTTTTTGTTGTGTCCGGTAGTCCAATTATTCTAATATCGTTCCTATTCATAGCATCAGACATGGCTCTCAGGTTTTCTTCAGATTCTCTGATTGTCTTATTTGATTGCTTTTCCGATTTGTTGAGGTCTGCTTGGTTATCCTCTAGGTCCCTGCTTTGATTCTCTGTCTCCTCAAGTCTGTTGGCAGATTCTGTCAATTTGCCCCTGGGTGTTGTTATTTCTTCCCTTAGGTCTTGTATTTTCCTTTGTGTGTTGCCTTTATCTTATCTATAATCTCATCCTTTTTCTGCATTGCTTCCCTCATATCCTGTATGACTCCAAGCAGCATTCTTAGGATTTCTTTTTGTGGCAAATCAATATCTGTTTCTTATATGCACAACGTTAGGTTCATGGCTTCTTTTGGCATGGTCTTCTGTTTCTCCTGCTTTTTTGTTGAAGCTGATTGCTGTTTATGTGTTGTTTTAGAGGAGCCTGGAGCCATCTTCCAGAGTCAAATTGCACTGGGCTCTCTTTTGGGGGACACATATGAGTGTTTCTATGAACTACATGCAGGTAGCTACATTGGGGGTTGGGCTACTGCTCTATCTTCCTGTGGTTTCACTCTTACCCTAGTCAACCAATATTCTGTTATTTGGAATGTGAGTGAGATAGTCCTTTCATGGGAAGCTTTTGGGGTGTTTGTGAGCCCACGAGGGTGGCGTTTCACTGGCTGATCTTTAAATGAGCCGTAGTGCTTTGTCTCACAGTGCTTGGAGTGCCTCGAATGGTGGGTGGTGTTTCCCTCTGCAACTAGAGTGCTGTGGAAGGCATGTGAGTATACCCTGCTTGGTGTAGAGCACTGTAGCTGGCAGGAAGAATTATCCTAGTCAGAGAGATCACTGTGGACGTTGGGAGGATGTTCTCACAGCAGTGTGGAGCACCACCAGCAGTGGGCAGGAGTTCTGTCAGTCACTTGTAGGGCCTCAGGTTTTAGGCTGCCATTCCCTCAGCCATTTGAAGGGCAGAACCCCACCTGCTTGGGGTATAGAGGAGGACTGGCATGATTTCCCCAGCTGCATTAAAGACAACAAATGCGTGCAGGAGATCCCCCTACTGGGCTTTCCGAGTTGCCCTAGTTAAAGAGGAGTGGCCTGGAGGCCAATAGTGGCTTGTGAAAGGAAAGAGAGGGAGAAGAGAAGAAAAAGAGAGAAAAGAGAAAAAAAAGATAGGAGCAAAATACCAAGTAAACTAACACCTACTTACCTAAAAATTGCAAGGAATAAACAAAAGTAAAACAGTGAAAAAAAGAAAACAACAAAAAAGGAAAACTGAATATGCTAAGACTGTGGCAGGAAAGAGAGAAGAGATTGAAGAAGAGGAGAAAAGAAGAAAAGTGAAAGAAGAACAAAAGGAAGAAAAAGCAAATAAGAGAAAAAATAGATAAAGAGGTTGTTGAGCCCTGTGCCTTGTCGTGTGCAGCACTGCCACAGGGGCCAGGCTGGAGCTCTCCCCACTGGGTGGGTGGAGTTGCCCTAAGCAGAGGGTAGGGTCCTGGAAACTAGCAGTGGCATGTGGAATGAAAGAGATGGAGAGTAGAGAAAGAGAAAAGCAGAAAGAGAGGAGAAGAGAAGAAAGAAAGAAAAAGAATATAAATTGAAAGAAGGGGATAAACACAACTGTGCCCATGAAGATTGACTGTGATGGTAAAGAGAGAAGGAAAAATAAAGAATAAAGAGATAACTGATCCCCAATTGCCTGAATGTGGGACCGGAGGGATTTAAACCCTGCCCCAAGATGGCAGGTTGGTGTGCCCTTTTAATTCAGTGTCCCAGTGGTTCTGGGCAGAATTGCCCTAGTTGGCAACATCACCTTAGAGGCCTGATGGAGTTTTCCTCAGCAGCCCGGAGTGCTGTAAAGGGCTGTAACAGCTATTTTGTGTGGTATGCAGCAATCCCACAGAGGGCAAGCTTGAGTTCCCCCTGTTATTTGGATTGAGTTGCCCTAGGCAGAGGGTAGTGGCCTGGAAGCCATCAGTGGCGTATGATAGGAAAGACAATAGGAAAAAGAAAGAAAAGTGGAAAAAATAAAGAAAAAGAGAAAAAACACAAATTAAACTGGGCCCATTGAGACCAACTGTGGTGGGAAAGATAGAAGGGCGGGAGAATAAAGAAAGAAGAAATAGTGTGATAAGTAAGGAGATAACCGAGGCTTGATCGCCTGACCATGGGGCTAGAGCAGTTACAACTCCGCCTCAAGGTAACAGGGTGGTGTGCCTGCTTGGTGTAGGGTCCCACAGATGCTGGGTGGGATTACCCTCTAAAGAATGATCACAGCAGAGACCAGGCAGCAGTTCCCACATTCCCACAATGGTATTGAGCGCTGGAGTTTACTGGTATACCTTCCTTGTGCTGTATGTAGCACTACAGTGGGGTGGGGGTGAGGCACAGGGTGTTCCCTCAGCCCCGTGTAGGGCCCCAGGTCAGGCAGGACATCCCCAGCTGTGTGCAGAATCACTGAGAGGGGAGCTAGGCTTATTGTCCTATCTAGACTGTTGATGCCCTAGTAGCTCAGAGGGTTTTTTTGTTGTTTTTTTCCCCTGACCAGCTAGAATAGAATTAATTAAATTGGCTCCCTGGTTCTGAGCTCTGGACCTGTGCTGCTGTTGGAAACTGAGACTTGCTCCAGAGGGTCTTTGTTATGTTGAAAGCCTCCAGGCACTGTAGCTAAATTCAGGGATTCCTTAGCATGGGTTCCCTTATTATGCTAATGTATGTTAAGGGACTCCTTTTACCTCTAGCATTGGAATTAAACAATGAGCCTGGGATTTGCAGTCTTTTCCAAGAAAATATTTTTTCTCTTTTTTTTATATTGGGCTTATGAGGTGCCCTGATTTGGAGACTGTCATGTTAACCACCAGAAGGGGGAGATCCAGCTTATCTGAGAGGTTGTTTTCTTCTCACCCAACTGGAACTGGATTCACCCCCTGGACTATGACTATCGCTTGTTTTCTGCCACACCACGACCTAACTCAGGTAAATTCTTGTTTTTTCTTCTACTCCAAATCTATGGCTACCCACCGACCAAGCTCCCCAGGCTATGAGCTCAGGACCACTAATAGTGCAGGGAGCTCTATTGTGGGGTCCTGGGACTAGGTCTCAGAGGTTCCCCTCGTGTCTGGGACTATGTTCCCTTTGGGGCCGTCAGCCTGGGAAAATCGCTACTCGCTGTGAAACTAGGGCATATGTAGCTCTTCAGCTGGAGCCCACGAGCCCAGCACTCTGAGCCTAGTGCAATTTAGTGCGTTCTTCATTTGCTTTTTGAGTGGAAATCACAAAGAAGCAGTGTTCACACAGACCCTAGTACCCTAGTTCTAATCTCAGGACTCTGCCTCCCAGTCTCCTTCACCTTACTTCCCTAGTTTCTGGTCTTGGCAGCTAGACGCCATATTCTTCAGTCTCCCCACAGATTCGTATAAATTTGGAAAAATGCTCTGCTTTACTCTGCAGACAATTCTGACATTGCTCTTAATGGTCCAGGCCATTCAGGAATGAAGGTTTCGGTCATCCCAGAAGGTAAAGAACCACAACCACATGAGGTGCTTGCTGAGGACAAGGGGAATATGAAATGAGTGGTGGGGAAAAAGCAGTTCTAAATGCCAGCTGCTGCCTCATGATAGGTTGTAGAGATAAGCAAAATGTAATCATTAGTATCTTCTCTTTATATGTGTGCATCAAATATTTTCCCTTGTTCATTTATAAAATATAAGATGTAAATAGGTAAGTGCATTTCTGTTGTGCATGTTTTAGCTGCATCATATTGGTTACAAGTATAATTTTATTATTATATTTGTGGAGAATATGTATAGTTGAAAAATGTTTACTTTTACCACATTGGCAAATGATGGACTGTTTATTTAGGTTTTATGTCAACCGAACTGTGTTGGTTGACATATGGGTGGAGAATGGAGATATGGGTGGAG